GCAAACCTTCTTTCGTTACACCACCACCATCCTTTAAAATCCTCTGTGGCGTAAAATGAAGAACGTCAGAGTTTAGCATCCGCTGCCTCCATATGTTCCACTGACGAGCTACTGGCAGCTAAAGCAACACTGACACAAATCATCAGCAAAAGTTTACCTTCAAAGTTCGCATTATGGTATTCGTGGGTAAATGTCGACAATGACTTGACGCTATATCCTTCCATCATGGAACTGCGTTCACGATTTTGCATCTATTTTAGACCAGTGTTCTAAACAATAACCCTCAACATAATTGAGGATCAACGGAATTTCCGCCTCAATTTCCTATTTCGGGACCGAGTGTACGTTCAGATCAAGTTGAAGAGGCTGAGCGAGTCAAGCATACTATTCCAGCCTCATAGAAATCAACGGCTGACGTTGTACTTGGCCTTCTTAGCAGATCCAACTGAAGTGGAGGTGCGTCCGGGCTGGAGCGCATGCTTCTGTCGACCATAGATTGTGCCCAGGGTCAGACGTTGAAATATTTGACAAAAATGCTCAACAGAGAAAAGGCGATCAAGTACAGTTCTACATGGAAGTGGTTTAGCGGAGCGTTATCTCTGACAAATGTTTATGGCGGTGTAGCTTCACTTTTTAATAGTTTGCTTATGTTAAGCAAGGATGGGCTAGCAGCCAAACACAAATGTCATTCCCAATCCTTCTGTTGCAAAGGCGGTGGGTATTCTTTAGATTGATATATATATTTCATTCACGCCGTGATAGTTTGTCAAAAGGGTGAAAAGCAGAATGGAGGTAGTAATGAAAGCAGAGTTGCTTTCCACCGCCACCAGTGTAACGTCTTGAGACCTCCTGGTTGGGGAAAGAAGGCATTGGAGGGGAGAGTGATTACGTATATTCAGAAATAAAGGAAGCAGATTGCGCTTTAAATTGGGCCTAAGGCCCACCCACACGCAATTAATAGCAAGGTAAGTACCAAAATGATCTCCAATCATACAAGTAGTCAAATAAAGAGATAATGCACAGCTGTGCATCAGAAAATCAAATTCTAGTAGCTGATGTAATATTTCGTTTATGTACCACATGACGGTTGGCGGTCACTTTAGGATTTGTCTGGTCCTTGTACACGTGGGCTGGACTTCTGGCCATGCCCAGGCCCATTTGTCTTGTCGCCTTCAGAATACATGTTTCAAACTACACTTACTGACTTCTTATACCGGCCTGGAAGTCTCGGGGACGCTACACTGGTGTCAACAGAAAGCGAACCCGACATATTTTAATGACTATTAGCCGAGGTGGGGTCTCTCTCTGCGTCTTGTCCTTCGTTGGTCGTTTGTTAAAAGCGACATAGTGTCCGGGAAAATAAATTGCCCAGCATAGACACCGCTGTCATACTGGCATCCTACGTTTGTGTTGCTAAATTTGCCAATTAACCGACTGATTTCCGGAGAAGAATAGTACGAACAAGCCGAGGAGCAAGGGTTGATTCGGATGATGTAATGGTTGAGTACCTATAAAGCGCACAGGATCTGGAGATGTATGTCGTTTGTTCTTGGTGTTGATGCTCTGAGCTTGAGTATCTATGACCCTGATAATCTGTTGGACCCCAAAATTGGATTCCCTTGGCCAGAAATTCGAAACATCTCTTTTCATGGCAAGAAATTTATAATCCAACCAGTGGACAAGACTGCAAAGGAATTCTACTTTCTATTGGAGAAATCTAAGATTAATAAGCGCATTATGCACCAGCAATCATGAGCTATAAATGCGTGCAATAGATGAAGATACAGGCGAAAAGGGACGTGAATTGAAGGAGGCACAGTTATCTTGGTGATGGAGACGCTCAGGATCCCCCAAAACGAACGGGTTTAAATTAACGTTTGCATTTGGTTTTACCCTATTCCCGTGTTCAGCAGACAAGTTATTAACAACTGAAGCGACGCCACCATGAACCATCTAGAAAAGTTTCGTGTCGCATTTTCCCATACAAGATCCCTGCATAGGTGTCTGAAATGACACTACGGCTCTACGCGCATACGAGACAGTGGCTCATCCCGTTTCCCCTACAACCTAGGTGTTTTAGACCAGAGCACCACCGTCTAGACCCGGAAGCAATTGATGGTCAACAGGTGTATGCGACCTCGAATTTGGTTGCTAGACCGAACTTAACTCCAGATGCAGTTGAAGCTGCCGAGGAGACCAGATACGGTTCCTCAGCCACATGCTATCTGTCGGCTGACTCGGATGGCTCGTAAAGTGCCGAGGACGCCGCTTAAAAGAAGAGAGGGCCAGTGTTATGCCTTGTTTATGCGGCTACATAACATTTGGCGGCCACTTGAGAATTGCTATTCGCAATGTGTGTAAGTCCTGCAACTTGTGCAAGTTTATAACTTTGCTCTACAGTTTATAATAGAATTGAAAAATAACTTCCTCGTCCTTATAGCGAGTTAAAATGTGATGCAATTAAAATGAGCTCCTCAAAGTATAGATCTTACCAAAATATGTGTTCGCCTCAATATTTATACGCTGTAAGTAGTGGATACAATAAGTATGATGTTATAAACTACAAGTCAGCGCTTAAAATTTTAATTCAAAGGCCCTTCGCATACACAATTATGCAACATTCAAGGCAATTCTAAAACATTACTTTAGCCAATAAGGACGGGCCAGAGCTCGGAATTTGTCTTCCTTTGACCACCATGGAGGATGTCGCAAAGGTGCATGTCCATCCAGTTGTTCTTTTATCGATAATTGATTCATATGAACGACGCAATGAGGATGCCCAAAATGTGGTTGGAACACTACTTGGTATGCGGCGCTGGGTTCATTATTGTTTCTTTAGGCACTTTTGAAAAGGGCATAATTGAGGTTACTCACTCATTCTCTGTGCCTCATAAAGAGTCGAAGACTGATGTTTCCATGGACCTTGAGTTTGGTAGAGCTATGTTGAACCTGGAACGCAAGGTTCGTGGTTTAGTGCACTTCCTATGGGATCTCTTGTGCAGGTTAACCGTAATTTACGCCCTGTTGGCTGGTACGCTACCGGCTCTGAAGTTACAGAATCATCACTTCTGATTCACCAGGATTACTATATGAAACATGTCAAGAACCCTATTTTCCTTCTCGTTAATCCAAACCTTGAAATCGGCAAGAAAATGAGCATTCAGGCATTCCAGAGTCGTCCTATCGGTATCCCCGATGGTACCATGGGAACAATGTTTCTCTCTTTGGAAGTCAATTTAGAGTTCTTTGATACTGAACGCTGTGCTGTTGACATGATGGTAGCAGATTCTCTAAATAAGGAGAATCAGCTCTCTGAGGTCGGTTCATTTTGCTCTTATCGACGTTTTAATTGTGCCTCTTATGTTGTTCTGATCGTTGTATTATTTAAATCAACTGTCGTCGTTGTGCTCCGTCTCAGGTCTACTTTCTTGTCTAGATTTCCTAGACCTTTTCCCATTTCTGCAGCTAACTGGTCCTTTTTGGCTGTGTTGATGTACTAACCTCAGAATGTCTGTGTGACCATACATGGGATTAATATCTCTTTTATCTGTAGGATTAAACTGCTGCTTCATAACACCTCGAAATGGCAGATGAAGAGCTTCTGCTGGTACGAAGTCGGGGTACATTGGATCCGTAGGACAGGCGTATTGTAGCAAATCACAATCAATAGTACCTTTGCGATAGCCTTGCCCGTATTTGCCGTTGATTCATAGCGTACCATCATGAATAGCTTTGCGTATTTTGGAATTCCTTATTAGTCAGGACTAATGCTCAAGCATCGCCTGCAGTTGTCTCGAACTTGTTCACGTTGTCTAATGCTTCATTAAAGTTGTTAGTTTTAAGTGTCAGCAGAAATCCCATGTGATAGATGTGCTCTTAATGGTGAAGTTCTTTCAATTTGACTTCATTTATAAGTCTCCACAGATCAGTTTGGTAGCTTTAATCAAGTAGATGTCGTTTCATGCTCTCTATTGGCTTTCTATCATTAAAGAAGAGCATGTTGGACCAATAAGGACATCCAGGAAGTCATGGAAATGTCTTCAATTTAAGCTCTACTTTCATACATTTATAGGCAGCGGACGACTTGTCCTACCTCTACAAACTAACTGGTCGTCTGCTGTCAATGTTGGAACGCGTGAACAAAAAAGTAGAGGCCTTCGCAAACGGTGAACAACCGGCAGACAGTGAGCTGGGTATGGCTATCGCACGTCTCATCTTCTCCACGCCAAAACTGGACTCGGACAATGTGGAAGACCTTATCAGTTCGTCTTTCAAGGACCTTCTCATGGTCACCTATCTGACTAACTTGATTCGGTCGCACACCAAACTGCTTAGCTTAGCTCACTGAAAGGAGCACTGGATACAGAATACAAATCATTGGTCTGATGTTGTATTCGTGTGCCTGTAAAATTGTTTGGTTCTCACTCTAGTACCTGTCTGGAAAAATGGACTTTGGTCTTTGGAAGATTGTGTGCATCCTTTTTTGTGTTCTTAACTGCGGTCCTTGGTGGTGCGATTCTTTAGGGTGCATCTTCGAGATTCGGCGACGTTGTCTGTAGTATTCATCGTTAGGACATAATTGAAAAATTTATTTTTTAAAAGACCAACTGGGTTCTCTATTTGCAGCAGTTTTATGATGTCATTCAACCCCGTAGCGGCCATGCGCGGCAGTGAACCCTTTTTCTTGTTCCGCTATTGCGACAATTATCAACCTGTGATATTCTACTCATAGAATATTAGTAGCTTCATTTGATCGGTGATGCCTAAGTAATTACCACCAGCCTGTTCATCTGCGCTGAATCTGTTTCCCAGTCCGATGAAGCCGATTCACTGCGCTAGTAAGGTAGAATCCCTAGCCCTTATTTCACTGATTTCTCCAATCATCTGCAAAGGGACAGTTCCATGATTTGACAACAGCCTTTTGGAGCTTACCCGGACGGAGTATTGATGGTAGCACCGGTGAAAACTAATCCAACGCAAGTGTTTTTTTATATGTCTACGTGAAAGGAACTAGTTCTAACAGTAGTTTTGTGTTACTGTCCCGGGAGGAGAAGAGGAAGTGCTTCGTAGTTTCAGAAACCGAACCGCCCCGCAGAATAACATTCCTTTTTGGAGTAATGTCAACTCTAGCTGGTCTATTCTTCGGGTCCGTGTATCACAGTAATTCTTTTTGGGTCAGCTTCTGTCATAACAAGAGAGCCTCGGAGACATTGGATCTGCTTCTAACGGCAGTGCGAATTAATGTCTCTTCTACTCCTATTGACGCTTTCATGGGCTTGAATAATGCACAGCGCCGCAGGACAGTCGTCCAGACCTAAGCATTTCTCTGACCCTTTCATGAAACGAGGAAAGACGTGGGTAGTGCGATTGCTTTTAGCGTTTATTTAAAGCCAATGAGTCGTGAGCATGATCCTAATGCTCACAACTTATTCCCCACCCCAATGACACAGAACGCACACACACACACACACGTGAAAAAGCGAACTATAAACAATAGGAACCCTAAGGAACATTCCATCTAGTGAACAATGGTCTGCAAAAGAGGCATAGGGAGTCAAGCGATAAATGCAGGGCTGGAAGTGGGAGGGGTTGTCAAAAGAGGTAGTTAATGATCGCCAAGAGTCGAACAATCATTACAAAAAACCGGTCTTTGGAGAGTTTGGGAAAGGGAACCGGTCATACAAAAAAAGAAAATTGAACAGGCGAGGCGAGGACAGTTGCCATAGGGAATGCTTTCACACGTGCACCTGCTTTGAAGTTTGCCTCAATCAAAGAAAGTCGTCCATACAGTGTTGTACGTAGTTTGCAGCAGCAACTCGAAATTCAGACGTCTTCCAAGTGTCGACCAGTTTGTGACACTCCGCGTTGATCATGAAGTCTACACGCTCGCGGTCACAAAGACGCGAGAGGCATTTGGTTGTCTCCAGTGCCTGCACACAAGATTCAGAGGCACAAAAACCAGTTTATTGCAAACCAATGAATCATTCCAGGGAAGGTCTTGTCAACTCGCCACTTCATAAACGCGCTCTGTCACATACATACCTGCCCAACCAGCCATCGGGCGAGAAATGTCGCTTTTTTCTTAGATAACTAAGACACGTCAGAGGACGATAGCATCAGTCAAAGCTACAAAATCATCTCTTCCTCTTCTTGAGTACCTACTGGAACCTTCAAAGTTCCATACCAATCAGTAGTTCTAACAAACCTCACTATGCCTCCAAACTAGAAAAGAAGAACTGATATCAATGGGGCGTACAGTTCCTTTCACATTAACTTTGGTACCAATCCCGGAAATTCTCTATGCACAAACAAAAAATCTTGCAAACTTGTACACCTGGTCGTGGTAGACAGAAGATCTGCTCTGAAGTGCCAACAACCCTGATTTCTTTTAGTTGATAAAAACGGAGGATATATGCGAAGGTGAGGAAGATTTCTGACAACTGCAGGCTTTTTGTTCTGCATTATATTCAGCGACAACAAGAACCTGAAGATACGACATCTTGGAACTATGCGAAGAAAGATGTCCGCATCTGTTATTCGATTAGTCTTCCGTTCTGGGTGCAAGCAGGTCCAGACATGACACCCAAATGGTAAAGGTCTCTCAGCCTTCAAGTTTATGCAAACATTCCAGCTGAACGGCGACTTCTAAATTTGGAAGCATGAAATGGGACGCAAACGCAGTGGTACCACACGCAAGTTCGCACCGTTAATACCCACAATAGCCGGTGTGTGCGTCTTGCATGGACCATTACAGACACTCTCCATCCAATGTGCCAGGTAGGCAGACGGGCAGCAGCGCCACTGAGCGCATGCCATGCAACAGCATGTGGTGATGAGCCATAGCTCGCGCAAACAACCAAGTTGCAAAAGCCAAGCTAGTGATTGTCCTCCTCTATGCCAACTGAAGCAGTACGATGTTGACTAGCAGTTGAGCCCTCAGCCAGCTCCCGGAACTCCTGATTAAACCCGATGCAGTACACAAGAGAAGGATCTGATAAAAAGGACGAATGCAAAGTCATTCACGATCATAATGATCAGTGAGTATCTTAAAATGAGTCGGGCATACCGACAGACATCCCGATACCAACACCTTTAAACGGTTTGGTCTCTACGGCCTTAGATACAACAGGGTATTTAGGAGGATCAAATATTGGTTTGAGGCAAACATTTTCAAAGTACGCTCGCACAATCAGAGGCCTGGTTGTATCAGATGTGGCCGACGATGGCAACAGACAAGCGTTACACACACAGTAGCACCATTAAGCATTGTCATGAAGGCAGCCGTGACCAACGTCAGCCAACCATTATCAACGCGGAGGTGGCATGACCCCGCCATTGTCGCCGGCACAGCGAGAGGAGGGGGAGGATTGCGTTTCACTAAAACTAAGATAGAGTGAGTCATCGACGGCGGCATAGACACAAATGCACACACCCACGTTCATATGCGTAGAGAACCACCGCGCCGTTGTTTTCGAAACGTCGCGTGTGCTATCCTCTCGCTGCCACCGGCAACTCAGCGCCATGACAATCAATCTCACTTGCCGAAATTACACAGCCAGGTTTATTTCATGTGCGAACCATAATTGTGGGTGCATTTTGGTGACACCAGTACTAATTGTTGCATGACCTGGAACGGACCGCCACCCAGCAAAAACCTTTCAGACAAAAACTTTCGCATAAGACCTCGGAAGAGCCAATAAACACAGAAGATTCTCGCTTCCTATTTCAGAGCCACGAATAGTCATCCCCCCTTTTGCGTTTGAACGACCAAAAGTAACAATGGCAATTACTTTTAGTTTGATACTTACTACATGGAAAAGATCTCGCAGTTAAACGTACCGCAGCTGACTGGCAAGCGATCCGAGCACACCGAAGGGTCACCTCTTGAGAGAAGCTTTTGGGAAAGACGACATCGGAGACAAGGCCACGTTGCAATGCCTCTCTTGCTGACAACCGACGTCCAGCAAGAAGCAAATCATTGGCCAGTGGGCTGCCCACTTTCTGGGCCAGTGTATACGTGGCGCCGGCCTCAGGTACCTGTCCAAGGGTCGCGTAAGCAGTGTGAAAACTAGCAAGATCGCTGGCGTAGACGAGATCAAAGAGGGGGAGAATCGCAGTCGCCAGACCCTCCGCCGGCCCATTTACACCTGCCAGGAGAAGCTTGGGAAACGCAGAAAGCTTGAGCAGAAAAGTGCGCAGAACGGTGACCAATGAGTCAACAAAAGCGACAACATTAGCACTGGAGCTAGTGGAGAGGGTGGGTAGATCTATACCGGATGAGAAGACTCGTCCAACGCCGGAGATCAACACAGCACGGATTTGATTATCAGCCTCTGCCAATTGAAGCGCTTCTGTCAACTCACTCAAAACCTATAGAACAGAGAGAAACAATTCCATGAGCGGTTCAGAAAGCATAAGAAATCTTTTAGTGATTAGACCTGAAGAGTAAAAGTATTTCGAAGAGTTGAGCCAGGTGACCGAATCCAGAGTTCGGTGAATCCCTCACAAGGGCGACGGCGAAGGAGAATAGACATTGCAGGGTCCGAGACGATAGACTGGACGGAAAGATGACCAGCACTTGGAAGTGGATGAAAATCCCGAGGAGTTGAGCCAGCATCATCAGACTTAGTCCCGTTGCGTCCGTTCTGTCGGGGGGCCGAAGAACGGCTTGAATCGGCAGTCTGAAGCACACCAGAGGAAGTGCAATTATAACCAGCTTCAAAAAAGAGACTCCAGCGGCCTATAGAGAAATTTCTAGAGATTAATCAAGTGAATTTATCGCAGCGCAATGCATCCTAAAATTTACAGCCAGTTGTAAACTATATGGAATCTTGCACCCAATAGAACAACGGGAAGTGGATGTTGTACTAAAACCCAGGTCATACCGCATTTTGAAGATCGAAAGGCATTTTTAAGAGAACCAATGATTCCGTGAGAAGGTGAATCTTGAGATTCACTGCTTACCTATGCCACACGAAATGGAGGCAGAAGAAACCTGCATGATTTGATCTCTACGCATCAGTGAAGGTTTCTCCAGAACACTTCCCTTATGCTCGTATTAATTCAGGTGTTACCTTTTCGCAGTGATAGGTCAAATCTTATAGCTCACGGCCCACGTAGTGGAATGCGAAAACACATAGTGCAGAAAACGAGTCTACCACAAAGGAGAAAAAGCATCATTGATATAGAAAACGTCGAAATGCCACATAGAGGTCAGGATGTGATCACAATCGATACGTTGTTTCAAAGACAAAAGTTTGTCTACAATGTCGAAGGCTAGTAGTAAATATATAATTAAGATGAAGTGAAGGTGTGTTCGGGGAAAATCTAGGGCGTAACCCAAGCAACGTACAAACTTAAGAAATTGACTCGGGCGGTTGCAAGGATGAAATACCAGATCCAGCTAATCGCTGTATTAGATCAATCGGCAGTAAAACGACGAAGAAACTTCCGATGCAGCACTTGTGAAACAGCTCAAAACCATCAGTAGCTGGCCTGCAGCAATTGAAGTATTACCTCAGAATGAAGCTATAAACGACTTGCGATGGGAACCACCATGAGAGACCAGCTCTAAGTTCGAAATCCAAAACAACAATACCATATCTATTAGGCATACCAATGCCATATGAGGTAGAGATCTGAGAGCTTTTTCCACTGTCTCCAAGCTCACTGGAGTTGGAGGTGGGAGCACATAGACCGAGACCCCAGGTTCGGATTGCGATGTATCTACAAGAACGAATCAAAGTCATATTTGACCTCTCATTAGAAATTAGCATAGGAGACAAACGCTGAAACTCGCCTCTTTCAAGCACATCTTGTGGTAGGAGTGCGCGAATCTTATCCACCACCGGACAGTCACCACTGGGTGTCAGATTTGATGAACGAACAACGCAACCATTAGGCGAGATGAGCCGAAGGAAAGACTTGAGTGCAGTCATCTCAACTCCACTGAAAGTTTCACCAACGGGAGTTGGAGTACGACTGTTAGGGGTCTTGGCTGTTCCATTTGACTTCGATGCACTGACTGCATACTTTGCTCGAATTCTGTTCGACTGCTGAGCCACTGTGTCGCCTCGGGCAACAACAGACATGTGATAACGGTAGGAGATACCACTAGGATACTTCACTCGAAAGATTTTATTTTCTTCTACCAAAGACTGAAGTGACGCCTTAGTCTCGGTGGAAGACAACTGATACATTCGTTCTGAGTAAAGAATTACGATTTTCTCATCCGGACGTCGGCGTCGGTCACGAAGAAAGTTTATCACCGCGATGACCTTCTCCGTATTCGATGCGTTCGGAGGAAGAGTTTGTGGCGTCACCGAGCCATTTTTTGAAGGGGTTGAGAGACCAGATTGGATGACAGTAGCACTAGGGGAATGAAATTCCTCAGTGTCTTGTGCTTTAACAGTAACTGTGACGCTCTTCCGAGGACTAGGCGCTGCAGAATCTAGAGAATTGCGCGACCGTTTTCTTGGTAGTTCCGTTGGCGAGGTTTCCTTTGAAAGGGACTCAGCGGTAGCGGATCGGGCGATGTCCGAAGCAGTACGTCGAGAAAAACGGGCAGGAGTGCTTGAAGAAGATCTTTCCGACACAACATTGTCACTGGAAGCTGACGGCATTTTCTAGCGCAAAAAAGGCCCCAACGTTACAAAAGGCACGATAAGAAAACCAAAGCAATGACAAGATTATTAGTGCATCCAAAAAATGACGCACCGGTAACTACCGAAAATGCATACTAAACCATCATCGGATATATGCCGCTAGAATCGGAATAAAGCAGGTACCCTAAATCCCCCATCAGCGCACTGGATTAACGAGTACTTTGGGGACGGGAGTTTGTCCGACGAGAACGAGAAAGCAGCGCTCGTTTTAAAAGAATGGAATCAACAACTTAGAGTAAACGATTTTTGCAAGCTTATGTCATCGCATGAGCCAGATACTACGTAAACGAACTCAGAGAAAGTAAGAATACATGGGATGCATCACTGTGGAGTCCTAGAAACGGAACATTAATACTATAGGTGGGGAATAAAGGCGGACCGCAAATTTCCCAAAAAAAGCAAACTGCAGATGATATTTATGCTAGAAAGAACATGGGGCAGCTGTTTCATCCAATTACGCAGGGTAAAAGCAAGCGGCGCACCGACCGAACGCGGAAAAGCAACCGAGAAACTATCGCGGTGAACGTTGTTTAAATTACCGCTCCGCGCACTAATTTCTGGGACCATATAATACGGAATTATTTATCAGAAAATCTATAATAATGGCCTATTAATAAACCTTTAATTTTTCGGAATATGTGAGACATTTGAATACTTATTCCGGACTCAGATTCTTTATTTTTGGAAATTTGTTAATGCTCTTTATTATGACATGAATTTGTAGAAACCATATTGAGTGCCCAACTATACCCAATAGCATAGAGTCATTTTTTCCGTCACCATTCTTATCCTTTAGATCTCTGTAACCCTAATTCAAACACCTCATTTCTCGAAACCAGTCCCACCTTCCGTCGCATGCACCATAATCATAGACCCCGACCGAATTGCAGATAGGTTCAAAGGACCCAAACACCCACCTTACATGATGACCCATCCCCAATCCCCAGCACGATACAACGCGCTTCTCCAGTCGGCTACATGAACACCATGGTCCCCTTCCCCACTTGAGTGAAGACACCTACCGCCCCACAATCGCCCCACCCGCGTATCAACTGCACTCAAGGCATTCAACCTTAGGGCCATAACTAGCAACGGAACGATGGCGAGTCAAATGAAGTTGAGACGAAACTCACAGATTTCTACACACAATAAACTAGCCGATAAAAAATAATAAGCGTATGCATTTACTAATTACAACACCGTCACGGAAATCAATCCAACTTCTGAACTTTCGCAGGTCTGCAAATGGAAGAACTAGAGCTCTGCCGCCGCTTCATTCCATGTGGATGTCCACGGTTCAAACCTCTTCCGCCGATGCCGAAGCCTACACCTCGACCACCGCCGCCCCTGCGGCCTCGGAATCCGCCAAATCGAAACGCACCAACACGACCACAGCTCCCATTCAGCTCATCCAATTCAGGCTCAAGTTCGGGTATTTCAGTGAGTTTTTCAAGGACTATTTTGTTGTTGTCATTAATCCAAGTGGAATCGATGGCGTCTACTTTATCGTCCGGTACGTCAAACACAAAGCCCTGGAGAAGACAATAATAGTGGAGGATCGCCACATCCGATACGCCAAGACATTACGTTAGACAAATTTTAGTATTTCTGATGGGTAATAAACAGTAAGAAATATGCAGCAGTAATTAGAAATGATAACAGTCACCACGAACAAAGAAACTCCGGAATGCCTTACGGTATAAAAATGGAAACGGCAGAATCAGATAAGACAACTATACAAATTACGCCCAAACACCTACCTTACGACCTTTAATGAAGGCCAAATTGCGAATGCTCTGTACGATTTCTGATTCCAGTTGTTTCCCAAGAAGGGCGTAGCAGAGACCCTTTTTATGAGCAGTCATATGCTCGGGAAGATCCATACGATAGGCAGTCAAACCAGCGTGTGCAGTCAGAGCTGAACGACTTCCCATCGTCTTCATTTTTCCCGCAATCTTGGCCAATGCACAACAAAGTATTCTCTCATAAATTAAAACAGGGACATCTGAATGACCATTCTGAACCATTTTGGGGTCTTCGACACCCCTTCCTTTTAGTTTGTTTAACTTTTTGGACTTCTTGACCAATTCCGTGTTTGTTTTTGAAATTGACTCCACTAAACGTCGAGCAGCTGGTAGGAATGTCGACCAGATTGACTCTGGAATTTCAGAAAGGGTTCTAAAATAAAAAAAACAGGTTTCGCCTGCACCTTGAATGACCAGAGCTAACAAACCATAATTCCAGACGGTAACGCATGTTACAACAAAAATTAACCCGGTAGTAAAACAAAGCCGAAGTAAAACTTACTGTGACAACTCAGATGCCCAGACATCGACAATGTCATTCGGAGAAGGAACAGAAATACGTTTAAATAAAATCCCAGCACCGCGTTCAATAAAAGCCAACTGTGAACGTTGATTCATCGTGTAGAAGCAGATGCTCCTACCACTACGTCCGGCACGACCGGTTCTGCCAGAACGGTGAATATAAATCTCAGCAGTCGCCGGTGGCGCGCATTGAATCACCAACTCAACGTCCGGAATATCTAGTCCACGAGCCGCTACATTTGTAGTCAACAGCGTTTTATACTTGCCTTCACGGAATTTCTAGAACAGAGGAAATTAGCAAAACAAACATCTCTTCCGAAACATAATCAAAATGACCTCGAAAAGCACCTGAAGGATGAACTCCCGTTTTTCCTGAGTAATGCCCCCATGAAAAACATGACAATCATTAGCCATGGCGGAATGAGCTGCCAACTCATCAGCATCCTTCTTTTTTTCACAAAACACAAGACACCTCGAAGACGGACCTTTTGAGTAAAAACGAATTGTGTCAGAGAGAGCATTGCCCAGTTCGTAAAACGGACAGAGAATGGCTAAATGCTAACGGAAGGGTATCAGGGTAGTTCCAAAAAGCAATTACCTCCACCGTATCAGCCGTTCGCGCCTCCTCTTTACTCACAAGAGTAACATATTTACAATCTGGAGATACGTAATTTTTGCTGATTTTTGAGACCCACTGCGGCAGCGTAGCAGAAAAAAGCAGTGTTTGTGGCTTCGCTTCTGATTCATATACGCGAGAAAGAATTTTCTCAACATCCGCACTGAAGCCCATATCAAGCATCCGGTCGACCTCATCAAGGACTACGTACTGAATGGCATCCAGATGGAGATGATCACTCGACATTAAGTCGATAACGCGACCAGGCGCACCAACAATAATATCCACACCCGACTTCAGCGATCGGACTTAATAGGAAATAACGAATAAACAGCACAACAAACCTTGCGGCTGATAAGGAACACCTCCATACACTGAAAGGACGCTCATTTTTTCTGGAGCTATAGAAGCCAAAACAGACGTGGTTTGGACAACTAGTTCTCTTGTAGGTGCGAGAACAATACCGACTGGGTGACGACCACGCCTGTACTGGATACCGCTTTCCTTAATTCGCTCGATCATAGGAAGAGAAAAGGCCAAAGTCTTCCCAGAACCAGTTTCTTGGCAAATAAATCAGATACAACTAGATACATACTTGCCAAGGTTACGACATCATCCCCATTTTTTATATGTTCATACGTCTCAGCCTGAACTTTGTACAGGCTTGTAATGCCAGCAGCTCTCAACTTCGTCAAGGTCTCATCAGATATATTGAACTCCGACAAGTCAGACGCCTCCATCTCAATCACGCCGAAATTCGAGGAAATCACCGACCCGAATTTTGATGTGTTAGTGCAATTAAACAACATACCTGACGTAATCTTGTTTATGTACTAATATTGTTAAAGATAGTTATGGTATATTGTTTAGTACGCTTGTATGTAAATATTTTTGTATTATTTTTTTCCCCGTCCGGAAAATAACTGCCTCTTCGATACACAAGCAACAATGTTAAGACTATGTGTGATTTAGCCGTTGACATAGTTTTCTATAATTTTGGTGAATACTGGTTTAGAGTGGAGCATGTCTGGTATGAAATGGTGGAAGTGTATGCTGCTTCCATGTATAATGCATACCACCCTGTCTATTGGCGAAAGGGAAGAGGACGTAATTGCATTAGCTTTCGTCGAGTGCTAGACCTCCCATTTTTTGCAGTTAAAGTAAGTGTGTGCGTGCTGATTTTTAGTTCAACCTTTACCATTCCATTTTTCATAACCCTTTTGTCAGCTGGGCAAAAGTTACTGTAGCGTCCCGAGGCCTCCAATGGGGTAGTAGAAGGCATAAGTGGGGTTGAATACATGTATTCCGAAAGCAATAGGAGAAATGGGACCTGAGCTTGGCTCGAAGGCCAGCCCACGTGCACAGGGCCCAGACAAGTCCTAAAGTGACCGCCAAACGTCAGATAGTTGCATAAACAAAGCATTACAGTTACTGTTATCCTTTCCGCAATTTGAAATTGTCTTTCCTGTCCCAACTTCTAGCAACATTAAATCACGCTTAATTATTTTGCCCTGATACTTCGCACTAGGCGGAGTAGAACACAAGATTGGACTGTATGCATGTGTTCCAGAAGAATCAGAATGAATTGGAGCTAGGTTTGGTTCGAAGACCAGCCTCAGAATAAAAGAGCAGGATCACTATCAATTCCCGCCAAGCATCAGTCCTCAAAAGTCCACTTGGCATATTCATTAATTTTAAATTCATCTAGGTTAAGGACTGGGCTTAAAGTATTTTGTATGGTTGCACGCTTGAAGTGAAGTCACACTGGCAGCCATTTTATCTGTGGACTGACCTCTTTCTAAATTCCATACAACTCTTCATTGCAAAATTGTTGGTGGGTTAAAAGGGCAAAAATAGTACTTCAGAAGTTTTTCTACTATGTCATTCGTTTAAAATATTTGGCGGAGGCTGTTAATACTCCCTGAGGTCTTCTTGAACAGAAAGACATTAACGCTAGATCAGAATATATACTCATACGCACGGAAAGCTTACGCATCCGCCGGCACATCTTGGTGGACTCATTCATGAAAGTGTATTTGACGATTTACCTAAATACTCTGTTCCCAATACCAGGGGTTAATTCAACTAGCATTGTAGTTTATTTACAGATATACGCAGGGTGTCGTGAAAATAAATCAAGGATCTGGAAGATCCTCCATTTGCAGGTACATCCAGATCAGTGTTCGTTTTGGTAACCAACTTGTCGATGAAGACTGCTAATGATTGGATGATGCTCTTCGCCATGAACGTTCCATCTATAAGTTGACAATCTTAGTAGCAGTCGCCTCCGAGGCAATCCATTTAATCAAAGCAGTTTACAAAGCACACATTCAGTGTCTGCTACTCACTAAACTACCTATGTTCCGTTTACACGTTGGATACGTGAGGGCATCCTTTACCTCATAACTCGCGACTACTCAAGGTTTCACGGAATCTCTGCAACAGGCCTTATGGAGCCGTCACTCAATTGCTTTTCGCCAGAACATGAAGGCAGCTCACCACTGCAACCAGTGCAGTACTTTCCTCCCTATTCCCTTTGTTCTTCGTCTCAACAACAACATTGATTTATCAAGCATTCCTATGTGGATACGATCAAAAGGCGGTAGAAGTACACTTTAGGCATCCGAGCCAGTCTGAAAAATGGCTCATGCACTCATCTGCACTACGTTCGAAATCGATTCGCACCTCTATCCTATAAAGCACAGTTTAAACAACCAATATGTATTGCAGCAGTAACTGATATATGCGGACTTGAGTTCAACAAATCCTAGTAGGCGTAGAGTAGGTTCGGAGTCAGAAGGGTTCCCCTTTTGGGTTACAAGTCTACTTACCAGTGGCGTCAGTTTGGCATCCTGCATCATTCTGATATTTCGAAGATGTAAACTAGTTTTCACGCTCCAGATTGAGCGCCAAAACCCCCATCCAAGTGCAGTACCAAGATACTCACGTAGCATAGCACCGTAGAAGCGCCAGGAGGAGTGGACGACAAAAAGCACAAAATTTTTTGCGGTGGCTAAGGTAATCCATTTATGGAAGGTTTTGTTGTGCACTGACCCGAACTAGTCAGCATACACGTGCAAAATGAGGGTGCGGGTTTTAAGTTCAGAGATTGGCCAGACATTAAACTTGTTCGGGTGGATTTTGGGACATCAGCCGATGAAGGTTAGTGTGCGGCATGTTTAGCCATTACGCTCTACTCTCGCCTCTAGCAGTCTACATCCAAATAACAGTTAAGGGGATTTGCGCTTAGCGGTTCTTAAGTGCTTTCCAAAAATTGGTTCAATGGTATAAACATTCTTATTATTGTGTGATCACGATGGAATCCAAAGGGTTTGAATAGCCTTGGGAATGAGAGAAAAGCCTTACCACGAAAGTGAGAGCAAACAGAAAATAGATCGCAAGAGCATGGCCGCCCTACTTTGCAGCGGTTGCGCCTGAAAATTTTGGCTCACAGATGCACAGAGAAATTTAGCAAACTGCATATAGTGACTTAAAAAGTCGCAAACTGACAAAATGAGGCAGAAGAGGCTGAAATGCATCCTAAGCAAGGCCATAATCAGAAAGGGGAATAAAGGAGAGGCTTTTGATAATTTGCTGCCCAGAATCTAGGTTGAAGATCTACTACAGCGGTGTTACAGAAACAGTTCGGACACAGTTTTTGGAAGCGGGCGACTATTCAGTCGGAAAAGATGGACTTGGTCTTGGACTCGACGAATGTAGTGACGATCTGTAACCACTAAGGAGAGAACCTCGGCTAGGGTGCGTTGTTTACCCATTTCAGGGACTCAAAAGAATGCTAAGGTTAGTGAGCACAGCTCCCGTAGCAGCCGGTTCTACTTCAGAGACGATGGGTAATGGTACCATTCCCCAAGTTGTAGGTGTCATTAATTGACGCGAGTTACTACGTACATCCTCAAATTTCGCCAACTTTAGAAAACTAATGTTAGAGGTGTTTTAGTAATTTTCTTGATTGCGTTAAAAGAACAAAGTGTGGACTGTGTCTGGTCTGATGATCCTCTTGCAGCCACACTTTTTGCATAAAAGTGGTGTAACCTTGCATACGGGTCAGGTATCGATACTGAAAAATTTGGAGGACGTATTCAACTCCTTGAAATGCATCAACAGACTTTCTTCTTGTATGCATTTATCAAACCTCTTAGGAAGGGTAATTTGGACAGATTTTCATCACGACCACGTCATGACAGATGACAGACGACTTTCATTTGGAGGGGATGAATTCCATGATAAAAGCTGTTGAAAAAGCAAGGCCCTCCCAATCCCCTTTTCTCGCCTAGGTGTAGGGAAGAATACAAGCCTATCCAAGAGTTTCATTAATGATTGCAAGACTTTAGGGCGGAATAGTTGTTCATTTTCGATGCCTCACTTTTGCCAGTAAAGAAGGCCAAACAACAAAGTCACTCCGCCAGTTGGTTCAAGCGGCTGTGTGTATCAATTTGCGTGCCGTAACATTGCTCCGAAATCAGGCAGTCGAATTCAAGGACCTTCCCAGACGCACGTTCAGACTGACAGAAGTCCAATAACGTTTGAAACAGCCCTACAACGACGAAAGGGAGGTACTAAGCTACCGTATCGCGCTTGAGGCCTTCCCCTGGAATAAGATATTCACAGTTTTGAATTAAAGCCATTTTACTCACTACAGTGCTTTTGCAATCATGCACCCAAAAATGCTGCAGTTGTTGTGGTTCATTCCAATCCTTCTGCTGACCAAATCGATTAGCGGTGTCTGGACTCGTGACCTCAAGACCTATGCAGCAACAACCACGGATTGCGACAGATCTAGTTTGTCATTGCTAATGACGATGCTTTTGTAGTTACATGAATAAAAGCATTCGCCAGTATAGCCTTCAATGAACACCATAATACAATGCTTTCAATATCATTCACAGGACTCTGATCGAAGTCACTCCCAAGTTCGTAGGACTTTTAGTGGTACAGGCGATCGGTACCTGGCAGGAAGCTTTCGAGAATGCAACTTATTGCTAAGAGGCTTACAAAGAAATGACAGAGGCTATCTACACCACCTGCTGACAGAGGCAAACGTAGAAACTGAACAGTGGGAATGCTTTATGACAAGCTCCAAATCTTAAAAGTCGCACGTGTCCCAACGAGGGTACACTGAAGTGCCATCGATGTGGGAACATGAGGGTACACCAAATTTTACGGTCAAAAATAAACCTACATCGCATAACTAATGGCAAAGCCTTAGGTAGGAACGCCTCTATCACAGCTTCAACGAGATGAATTATTTCATGCTTATTAGAGCGGAGAAAAAATAAGGAGTCTTATCGCCCCACCAAAAACCAAGAAACCCAGTATGAAGTTTAATAAGTAACAAGTCGGTAGTGATATGCATAGACAAAAGTATGTATATGTATATATAGATACATATATGTATATAGCATAGAACAACTTTTCCAAGAAAGAAGGGAGAAACTTCATCATAATTGTTAGCTTTAACAAAAGAGGAAGAAATGATAAGAGCCTAGGCCAATTGGAGGAGAGAAAACCACTTCAAACCCAGTTCATTCAATCGCTCGCCGCCATTGCAGTCCGCTACCTCCAACAGCATGCCCGCCCCGAGGACGTTTAACGAAGCCTCCTTGCAGAGCTTCGATGCCGCGCTCATGGTTCCGCCAATGGCCAACACATCATCGATCAGAACGACGTTCGACCCAGCCTTCAATGCAGACTTCTGCAGCTCAAAAGTAGCCTTGATAGAAAGTAAAGAAAGTAGTTAATAGGATTAAGAAAAGGTAGACAAATCGGGCGAATTCCAGGTCGAAGGGAGGGAGTCCGAATGTGGCTTTAACACTAATATCAGCCAGCGTCAACTCGCATGGAGTGCCAGATGGACAGGTAACAGTGGCAATACATCAGACGCTTGGTAAACAACGAAGGCGCGTAATTTGACCCAATGGCTACCTGCACTTACCTACAGGTTACTCTGGGCATATTAGTTTACAGTAATCAGATGCTTCCTTTCCTCATTGTATCAGTAAGCTATTTCAAAGGGTAATTTGACTACGCCAATAGTAATCCCGCCAACAGTAGTTAGCAGCCTGCAGATTGGGCATAAAGACCTCATAAAAGACAATGACAGCCTAAGATGAGACCAGTTGTGCAAATAAATTTGTGCACTGTGGAGGCAAACAATGCAGAGCAACAAATGCATATAGCTTGATAGTCCTATGAAACAGAAAATATTTAGAAACTTGCATAAATATCTACCATATTACAAGGTGATGCGGAGACTGACAGGGAGAAAAGCGTCGCAAAACAAAAAAAACGCAACAAGGGCGATTTAACACCTTCTCCAACAGGCCTTGAAAGCACATAAAGGGGAAAGCGAAAGCAGATTGGTCAGAGCGACCTAATACCCCCATGTTGATTGGCTACCACTTATACGTCAGGTGGTCACGTTGCCAATTGCCAAATGCAGCTTTACCTTCTTGGTTTGAAACAGAAGGTATAGTCGAAGACAAGAAAAGCTAAACTTCCGTAAACTTCCCATATCTTGGAGTGAATAGCCTCCCTCCCCCCGGGAAGGAAGTTAGAGATTAGAACGGGGAAGGAAAAGTCGGAAATACGCATATCGACAAGGAGATAAGAATACAGACTTGAGTTTGAGGAGGCAAGACCACAACGATATAACTCAATAAAACAAAGCCTAATGCCAATGATCCCCAGCTACCTCCAAACTAACCATGAAGTGTGTTGATTTGAAGGACGCAGGTGATACGCCTCTAGGAATGAAGTGTAGCTTCAGCGCACTAATTGGATTGCATTTATGAAACAAATGTAGGTGCAGTAAAAGGAGGTAAAGAAGATCCACTGCTTTTGCAGAAAAGGCAACTACTTAGTACGAACAACAAATTAATACAATTAGATAAACTGGCTCAGAAAAGATTTGCCACTTTTGAGAAGTGAGCATTATAAGAGCACTCTCCTAACAGCAAAGAGCCGTTAATTATGCAATCACTTATATAGCAAAAATCTAGTACAGTAGTTAATATAAGAATAAAATTATAAGATAAAAGAAAGCTGGCACAAAAGAGTTGTCGTCGCAAGAAACCTGGTGAGAATGAGGTGCAAATAAAACGAAAAAAGAATAGGAAAAATACAGTCACTTACAGAACCGTATTCTAGGTTGTAACTGCCTCTTATACACTCGCCAGGAAGCTTGCCAGCTTTCCGAATGGGAACAAAGGGCACTTTTAAAAAAGTTGAGAGAAGAATGCCGAAAATAAAGCCACGAGATTCCAGACCAATAATGGCATCAATGTTCTAAAGTCCAATCAACTGTCGGCAAAACACCTACCTCACCATTTGGCGTAAAGTGCTTCTTGATCTCCTCTGCCATCAAAGTAACACAGTCATTGATTACATTCTGATCTTTAAAAATGGGGAAAATGTCACTGGAAAATAAGAGATGAGTGAGACGCACAAGAAGTTAATGCCCGCCTTGGGGAAGTCCGGGTATGATTTAATAGCTTGCCGTATTCTCTCCAGCCTATGGTCCTTAAATAATAGATGTAAAAGACAAGAAGAACTCACAGTCATCGCAGCACGTGAGGCGCACCGAGAGCCGAATACGGCACAGACGGACGCGAGGACCACTTTGATAAACTTTTATATGTTGTGGGAGCCAATGAATGTAGGGGTAAGTCGTACTTGCTTTACGCTTCTGCTATGGTAAAACGCAACGCCTATTATCAAGCAAACAAAAATGCGCTTCCCATCTGCAAACATCGTTTTTATATTTGAAAATTATCACCGCACCATTTTTAAATTAAGGATTTATAGAAAGTATAGCATTCATTGGTGCAACGATGCTCGAAATAATTGCTAAATGCATCATCGCAATGTTTGTCTTTCCTAGGATATACTTTTTAGGCAAAAGACGATCAAGCAACTCTACTTGTGGTTCCAATGAGCAAGTTATTTGCACTAAAACTGATTAAAAGCATATCGCATTCTCCCCTTGACTTTATACCTATGCAGTTGCATCATCGCAAAGCCACCGGCTAGGTGAGGATAGGCATGGAGTTGGACTAATGCACGCAATCATCGAGAAAATTTAGAGGGAATCGTAAAGCTTTCGAGACTTTTGGAGAAGGTAACAGGTGGAGCTAACTACATGTAGTCGAGGAAAAGCAAATGGATTAAGTCTGAGCTCGACGCGAAGGCCAGCCCACGCTTACAAGGCCCAGATAAATCTTAGAATAATAACCAGAGATTAGATGATCACGTAACCAAAGTATTATAAGAGTGCTCTTTAATGTGGCCCCAAGTCCAAATCGCGCACACAAGAGCAAGATAAAATAGACACTTCCTGCACCAACTATCGGAAAATATTCAATGCTACAAGGAAACACGCACGGCCACCCACGCCAGTCATCAACCACGATGAGACTGAAAAGTAGTAGCCTCCCCAACAGCTTTGACTGAATCTGAAAATGCGTTCGGGTCTGTGACTAAGAAATTTGTCCAAGACTAAACGTTGAAAAGCTGGTCTAAGACAAATGTCTGTCAAGGAAGATGGGATCAAGCACTGTCTCGTATCCAGAAAAATCCCAAGTGATGTCATTTCCTACATTTATACGCCGAGGTAGTGGGGCTAATTTCAAGGCACAACTCTTCCAGATGTTGTTGTTAGCCTGTCTGTAGAACGCAATGCTAAGACGAAGCCAAACACAGACATTATTTGCGACTTCTCTAGACTGAGCAGTACAAAGAAACTCCCGTACAACGTATATGCGCTTCCTTCGCAAGGTAGGTATGTCATAAACCGTGGGTACAAAAATAGAAGTCGTTAAAAAGTTGGATTTGCTTTCCGTTGCCACTAATTTAGCACCCCAAGACTTCCATCCAAGTAGAAGACGGCATTATATTTGGCTGAATATAGGCTTTCTAAGAGGTGGTCTCGTAAACTAAGTATTACAGTCCTTTATTCTTTTAGAGTCCTCAGGCGTCCATATCGGTAATAGAAGGCATAAAGCATGTTATAACACTTGTAATCGGAGAAATAGAGGAGAAGTTGCAGCTTTGGCATAATTCAGATAACAACCTGTCTAATATAAACATAATGGTTACCAAAGCGGCTTCAACCCATGTAGGCTGTCGAGTGAAAAAGTGTTGTAAATATGTTTTCTAGCGCCTAATGAGAAGCCTTGAGAAGCTACATTAGTGGCGGCAGACAGTTGACGAGACCTTAGAATGGCTTCTATTCCGGTTTCCACCGCTTATAACTGTGCGAATGGAGTGTTAATGCATCGAGTTTGAGATGCTTCATTTTTCCACAACAAGGGGTTTGCAAATGACGTCTATCTTCGCTATATGTCTATCATCGTATTAGGAAGGCAAGTTATTAAGCTCGGAACTGCAACACAATATAAAGCACCTCTGAGAGAATCATTGTAAAGTTTCGACTATGACAGCTGCATGTAGAGGTCAGCAATGCAAAGTTGGGCGCATTTTTTTCCTTCCTTTGTTATCAGTCTCATACTGCCTTTTACAATTATGCTTTGAACTAGTATTCCAACGTCCAGCCCTAAACGCGTGTGTTGATTAACAGTAATGGCAGTCACTAAATCCCGTTTTCAACTTGATTGAAGCTCCAGATCTGCTAGAAGCTCCTGAGAGGGATCTGTGGCATCGGGATTAAGTAGTATCAAGCATTAATACAGAAGTCGATGACTAAAGCGACTGGCTCGTGGGTGCCTTCCTCTGGTACTCTTGATGTGTTGGCTGACATATAGGGATTATTGCAGAGAGCGCAAAGAATGTGGCTCAAAACGAGAAGCGCTGTGCAACTTGACTGTCGCTTGAGTTGCGGTCGCTTTTTCCTGGTGAGATGGTCTTCTGCCCATGTTGTAGGGTCCACCGCCTTCCTTCCTCACTAAAACTATCTGTATTTAAACTTAGCCATATGTATATTTAAAACAAACAAAGACAGTGTCTTTTTACGAGTATGAGGGTTTTAAAGGCTTGGCATTTCTTTTTTAACATAGTCCTTTTGCACTTGGCTTTTCGATTATTGGAGAGACAATGACAAAGTAATCTCAAAGGCGGTCTTACTAATGTAGTTTTAGCACCCTCAGACAACGTAAACACGAAATAAGGCAATAAGACTTGAGTTTATTGCGTACATTTATTAAAGGAAGAGAGTGCTTGAATTTTCGATGCATTTTAATGGCAACGTATTAAAAGATGGAAATAGGAACACATTGTAGCACCGACAACAGTAGAAAAAATAGTTCTAGTAGGAAATACGAATTACATAGTCTCAGTCGGCATGGGAGAGACCAACTCAGTCTCTGAGTAAATAACCTTAGGTATGACCCTGCCATCCACCCTAAATGCGCGTTCAACGTAACACAAACACTAATGCTGCAGCGTCCCGAGGATCCACGCCATGCAACGGTGAGTGTGATTGGGGCGCCTTTTTGCTGTGTATTTTAGGCCTGAACAGAAAACGTAACGCAGACCTCTTAATCGAGGCATTGATCAATGCCACACCCGACGATAAGGACTATCCTGAGATGTTACAATGCTACGGCACCATTTTAACGATTTGTTAACAAACCTAATTAACTGACAAAATCTTACTATGCTACCCAGGAAGGATTTGTAAGTCGTGTAGCCCATAGACAAGCCGATTTGGTTAAGTTACAAGTTCCTATTTACCAATCCTTACCACACTTCGAAAACGAAATCAAAAACAAGTTTTTGTGGGTGGTGCTCACCTTGTGCCAATTTCGCTTCTGCTGGTTAGGCTGTCATTTGGGCCGGGCCAGAAGTCCAGTCTCCTTCCCAGTTGTCTGAAGAACTTCTTTCTAACTAAAATATATAGCCTAAGTAGTAGTTACAAAACAATGCTGTAAACACTTCAGTGAGGTTCCAAACTCAGGTTGATACATGCGTTGATAATACTAAAACCTTACTTTTTAACCAGCCACATAAATTACAGGCTTATATTAATACTATTCACTTTTGGTTATTTGTATTTGTACCGTCCTGAGACTTCCTACCGGGTGGATACATGTATTCCAAATAGAACAAAGCAACTGAGCCTGAGCATGGCCTAAAGGCCAGCCGCACGTACTAGGACCAGGCAAATCCTAAAGGTGACTGCTAATCGTCATGTGACTACATAAACAAAGCATTACATTATCACTTACGGATTCGCGCTACTGGCAATGCTAAATATTGGTGCCTGTAATAATTCGCTTTTTAAATTACCTGAATGACAGTCACTTTGTAGTGTTCATCACGCTTTCGGTTTGATAGGCTGGCCTTCAACTCCTTGCGTTTCTCACTTTATTCAAGCACTCAATCATGCCTAAATTCTCCCCTACTACCAAAAGGGAACAGATGGAACGCTCCAATTCCGAAAACAAATAAACACTGAAACAGAATGACACATAATTTCGGTTTCTAATCCAGTTTACAAAAAGGTATAGTCAATGAAAGCAGTCAAAACGCAGCTGATTCTATAGGGAAAAGCTAGCTAATCAATTCGGACATCAACCCGAGCTTGAAGAACGCGTAGATCTGTTTGCTGAGTAATGCATGTTCGCCGTATTACCCATATTCAAAACCATATTTATCTTGTGAGAATGCCTAATAAGCCCTCTTCCAGCAATTCTTTTATGAATACAGAGGTTTTGGGTATCGAAAGATAGAATGAGAGGCACTACAACAACAAATAAGTCATTGTAAAATAAGTAGTATTGAGGATAACAT